GCTGCGCGCTTCGCGTGTCGTCAGGCGGTCCTTGCTTCCTCCTCGGAATCCGCTTGGGCCCTGGTTCTTAGGTTGTCTTCTCCCTTTTGTCCTCTGCTTTGAGGCTTCTGCGGTTGAGTGTTATATTCAGGCGGCTTCTTCCTCTTGCCACCCTATGTCTGGTTTGTTGGTGCTCCGGGGGACCTGGGGGGCTCCTTCCCGGCAGGGTCGTACCAGGGCTCGCAGTTCCGTTCGTCGGGGTGGGCTACAGGTGTCGGGTTCGGTGCCGGTGCCACCTGCGGTCCCACCTGTGCCTGGTCGGCGATGGGAGGGAGGCTGACTTTGTTTGCTCATGCCTGGTCTCACGATTTGTGGGCTTTTCAGGTCGTTTCTCACGGCCTGCAGTGGCGTTGGGTGGCTCCTCCTCCTACAGGGGGTTCGGAGCTGACAGGGCAAGCTTCCTCTCCTGCGCTCCATCGGGTCATCTTGGAGTGGGCACGCTTGGGCGTGGTTGAAACGACACCGTCCCTCAGGTGGGTTTCCCGCCTGTTTCCAGTTCCGAAATGGGGACTGTGCGGACCTGCGGTTCATTCTGGACTTGTCCCGTCTGAACCCTTGGGTTTCTTGCCCCTCGTTTCAGATGACCACTCTGTCCCAGGTCCGGCTTCTGTTGGAACCGGGCGCTTGAATGGTGTCCCTGGACTTCAAGGATGCGTATTGGCACGTCCCTATTCATGTGGGGTTCCGGGACTGGCTCGGTTTTGTTGTGGGGCGTCAGTGTTACCGCTTTCGTTGTCTTCCCTTCGGGTTGAACCTGGCACCTTGCGTGTTCACGTGCCTTGCCCGGGTCGTGATGGCCCATCTGCGTCTGTTAGGTGTTCGGGTGTTGGCTTACCTCAACGACTGGCTGGTTTGGGCTCCCAGTCAGTCCGCGTGTCTGCTCGCTAAGGATTTGGTTCTTTTCCATCTTGCTGGGTTCGGGTTCCTGGTGAACTGGCAGAAGTCCTGTCTGGTGCCCTCCCAGGTTCGGTCCTGGCTGGGTCTTGTGTGGGACTCTCGGACCGGTTTCTTGTCTCTTCCTCCGGAGTCTCTCCTTCAGCTGCGGTCTCGCCTGTGTCTGTTTCTGGGGGCTCCCGGGTCATCCTGCAGTTGCTCGAGGGTTTGTGCGGGAGCTGAACTTCGCGATGTTGGTCTACCCGCCGGGTCGGGTTTGGCTTCGTCAGCTGTTCAGGTTCCTTCGGGGACGTCCCTTCCGCCTCTCTCGCAATCGCTGGGTTCGACCCCCAGGGGCTTTGCGTCAGCTGCTGCGTCGCTGGCTTCCTCTTCGGGTTTTTCGGAGTTCAGTGCCTTGGCGCCTGCCTGAGCCCTCACTTGATGTGTTCACGGACGCGTCGCCTCTAGGCTGGGGTTTTGTGACCAGTGCTCACCAGGCCGGCCAGGGGCGGTGGAGTCCATCCTTCCGTCGGGTCCACAGCACGGTGTGGGAGTTTGTGGCGGTGTGGTGTGTGCTTCGGAGGGTTCGGGTCGCCCGCGGATCAACAATCCGGCTCCATTCGGACTGCTCCCTGGTGGTTCATTGCCTGAACTGAGGGGGTTCGATGCAGTCCTTGGCTCTTTGGGGTTGGTCGCTTCGGGTGACTCATCTGGTGAGTTCTCGGGGTTTGGCTCTCCTGGCGGTTCACGTCCATGGGGTGTCCAACGTCCTGGCGGACGGCCTATCCAGCTTCGTTCCCCTGTCCATGGAATGGACGGTTGACGCCGACTCCTTCAGTTGGCTTTGCCGGATGTTCGGGGGCCCGGAGGTGGACCTCTTCGCGTCGGCGTGGTCGAGGCGTCTTTTGGTTTACGTGGCGCCCTTCCCTGACTGCGAGGCCATCGGGATCGACGCCTTTCGGCAGGACTGGTCGAAATGGGGGTTCCTGTACCTCTTTCCCCCGGTTCAGCTACTGCTCCAGTCCTGGCTCGCTTGGACACTTACCAGGGTCGAGTGGTCCTCTTGGCCCCGTGGTGGCTGGCCCAGCCGTATTTTCAGGCGCTGCTTACCTGGTGTCCGAACACAGAGTTTTTTCCGCGGCTCTGTCTCTTTCAGGAGATCGGGCCAGTCCGGTATGTGACTCGTTCGCTCTTCTCCACGAGTCTTCGCGTTTGGTGTTTTTGACTCATATTTATCACCATCTGGGAGCCGGTCGCCCGAGAGGACAGCACGATGGACTTGTGATCCTGTAGTCCTGGGTTCGATCCCAGGCGCCGGCGAGAAACAATGGGCAGAGTTTCTTTCACCCTATGCCCCTGTTACCTAGCAGTAAAATAGGTTCCTGGGTGTTAGTCAGCTGTCACGAGCTGCTTCCTGGGGGTGGAGGCCTAGTCGAGGACCGGGCCGCGGGGACACTAAAAAGCCCTGAAATCTTCTCAAGATAACCTCAAGATAGATTTTTATGGTGAGCAGGTGGCTTCCTTGTTGGTTTCTCACTTGCGGGTTTCCTCTCGGCAGCAGTATGGAGTTTCCTGGCAGTCCTTCCGTTTTTTTTTTAACCTTCGTCGTTGTTCCTCGCTTTCAGTTTGGGTGGTGTTATCCTTTCTCTCTTGGTTGTTTCAGGACCGTCTTCTGATGCCTAATACTGTCGCCTCGTATCGTGCGGCGCTGGCGGAGCCATTGCAGCTTACTTTCGGTATTGATGTTACTTCTGCTCCATTTCGCAAACTGTCTTGGGCGTTGTTTCACCTCCGGCCTGCTCATGCGCTGCCTGAGCCGTCCTGGTCTTTGGACAGAGTGCTCTTCTATCTTTCTTCTCCTCGGTTTGTTGAGGCTCCTTCGGTTCAAGATTGTTTTGCTAAGGCTCTTTTTCTGTTGGCATTGGCCTCTGGGGGTTGCGTGGTGGAGCTTCATGCTCTTCTCCGGCGCAGAGGTTTTTGCTCCTTTGGTTGTGGTCTTCGGTGTGTTTGTCTGCAGCCGTCTCCCTCTTTTCTGGCGCAGAATGAGACTGCTGCTTTCCGGAGGGGTCCTTGGGTTGTTGATGCTTGGTTTGTCAGGCTGGGGGTTCACCATGTGTTGTGTCCGGTTGCGGCCCTCCGCCGTTATCTGCTCGCCACTTCTTCTGTGTCCGGGAACGCGCTTTGGGTTGATCCAGTTTCCCTTCTTCCCTGTTTGCGGGTGGGTTCGAGTCTCTCAGGTCGTCCGCAGGGCTATTAAATCCAGCCTGCCTGCAGTCTATCCCCGTGCCCATGACATTCATAAGTTTGCTGCTCTTGCTGCCATCTTCGGCAATATGTCTTGGGCTGACATTCGGGCACGGGGATTTTGGCGGTCGAACAGGGTCCTGGCTGCACGGTAATCACATGTGCATTTCTATGGGCCGTTGCTCCCCGTGCCTCTGTGAGGGGGCCAGGTTCTGGCTCGTGGTCCCTGGTAGGCTAGAACTCCACCCACATCAACTGATGCAAAATAGTTACGGTATCCATATCAGCCATGGATAGCTCCGGGGAGCCTCCGGGACTCACCCAGAAAATGGCGTTTCATTACATTCAATGCTGGTTTTTTCTCTCTTCATAGGTTGTCTTCTATTTCTGATTGAGTTGTCTTGTCTTTTCTTTCTTGGCTTTTTCAGGACCGTTATTTAATGCCTAATACTGTTGCCTTGTATTGTGTGGCGTGACAGAGCCGCTCTAACTTGCGTTGGGGTTGGTTGTCCCTTCTGCCCCATTCTGTAAGCTTTCTCATGCTTTGTTTCACCTCTGGTCTGCTCATGCGCCGCCTGAGCCATCCTGGTCCTTGGACAAGTTGTTCTCCTATCTCTCTCTCTCCTCCTCAGTTTGTGGTGGCCCCCCTTTGGTTCAAGATTGTTTTTCCAAGGCTCTCTTTCTGTTAGCATTGGCCTCTGAGGGTCGGGTTGGTGAGCTTCATGTTCTCCTCTAGCACTGGGGTTTCTGCTCATTCGGTCCTGGTCAGCGACGTGTTAAATTGCAGCTTCTCCTTTTTCTGCCTTTTTTTTAGAAAGAGACGGCTGCTTTCCGGAGGGATCCTTGGGTCATTAATGTTTGGTTGGTAAGGCCGGGGATGCATCATGTGTTGTCCGGTTGTGGCTCTTCACAGTTACCTGCATGCCTTTGCATCTGTGGCCGAGGATGCACTTTGGGTTGATCTGGTTTTCCCTCATTTCCTGTTCGAGGGCCGCCCGTTATTTGGTCAACATTCCTGGTCCTGGGCAGTCGTGTGTTGCTTTGGGTCACAGGTTGCAGCCAGTTACCTCGACTTCAAGTTGAGGAGCGAGTGACGGCTGCCTTCCGAGTAAGTCCCTCTTTTCCTTTATTATTGGTTAGATATGTTGACCAGACCACACACTAGAAGGTGAAGGGACGACGACGTCTCGGTCCGTTCTGGACCATTCTCAAGTCGATTGTCGTCGATTCCATTCCTCCTCGTGCCTCTCTGAGGGGGCCAGGTTTTGGCTCGTGGTCCCCAGTAGGCTAGGAACTCCATCAAATGACTGTTGCCATGGTCTAATATATACACATCAGCCCAGTATAGCTCCAGGGAGCCTCCGGGTCTCACCCAGAAAATGGGGTTTCATTACATTCAACGCTGGTTTTTTTTTCAATATTTACTTGAATTTATCTGAGAGCTGCCACCTCTCTAGTGGCCTCAACAAGGACAAGAAGTCAGCAGCTTATCAAAGGTTGCGCCGTTTGTCCTAAATTTATTCAGCTGGATTTTGAATTGCAGCAATGTTTTGGCATTCACGATTTTGACAGGTAGGCAGTTCCATGGGTTTATAACCCTATGGGTAAAAGGTTTTTCTATCCTACTCATGGTGATTTCTATCCTGCTCATGGCTTGTTGAGTTACATCTGTCCTTTTAATGGAGTATGTAGATCAATATCCTCAAAATTGTTAAGTACTGTATTTTACAAGTTTTTTGGTGAGATCATCTGTCATGTTATGAAATAAACATTCAAAATCCATAAATATAATCACTTGTGTGTTGGTGCCAGATGTATTCCAATAATGTGTATTTTTCTTTCAGAATTCATCTGTGGCATGTTAGGCTATGTGGAGTTCTTGAAGCGAGACTGGCTAATTGGTATATTTCAATGGCAAAGGGAATCTGGCTGCTTTCCAGCCACTGAACCTTATATTGGTAGAAAATTGCTCTCAGAGGAAAAGCTACCAGGTAATATTAGTGTTTATACTATGCTGTAGCCTAACAGCTGGGTGGGCAGCGCTTCGGATTCGTAGTCCTGAGGTTCCGGGTTCGATCCCCAGTGGAGGCGGAAACAAATGGGCAAAATGTTTCTTTCACCCTGATGCCCCTGTTACCTAGTAGTAAATAGGTACCTGGGAGTTACAGCTGCTACGGGGTGCTTCCTGGGGGGTGTGTAGAAAAAAAAGGAGGCCTGGTCGAGGACTGGGGCGCGGGGACGCTCAGCCCCAAAATCATCTCAAGATAACCTCATGAAGATAGACTTGAAAATAATATTCTGTTCCTAAATAACATGTTATGTTATTTAGGTCTGCATTTGTAACCTAAAAGACAAACATAATTCTGTAGCAAAATGTATATATATATATATATATATATATATATCTATAAAAAAGTATGTGTCTGTCTGTGTGTCTGTCCAAGGTTGGAGGTTAGGTGAATGGGGCTAGCCTCACCCAACTTTGCAGGGAATATGGTCTGTTGTTTGGGAAGGACATAGGCAGGTCAGGGTTGGCCTAAGTTAAATACTTTAAGACATACTAGCTTTTGTAGAGACTCTACATGCAATTTTCATAGTCATACTTATAAATGCATGCATGCATGCATACATGCATACATACATACATACATACATACATACATACATACATACATACATACATACATACATACATACATACATACATACATGAGAAGGATACCCCAGCACCCCCCTCCCTCTCTTCTCCCATTTTACCCCTCTTCCTTCCTCATTTCCCCCTCTTCCCTCATCATCGTCTTACCCCTGCCTGTCCACTCTCTCCCCTCCCCCATCTTTTCTATGCCCCCACATCACTATAACCATCATCTTCCCAGTTCTCACTATTTTCATCGCTTTAATCTGAATAAATTCATTAGTAATTATTTTAGAGTTAATTACGAAAATGTGCAGTAAACTCTTTGGAAGAGTTTCAGACCATGAAGATCACATGAGGTGGTTGGGTTACAGGCTGATATTTCTTAAAGTATTTAATTTATACCAACTATGACCGTCCTATGTCTGTTCTGTTCCCCAAAACATTTCCCCCAGCAAAGTTAGTGAGGCTAGCCCCAATCTTTTGGCCTCCAACATTGGACAGACACAGACATTCTCTTTTGTATATACAGAGGTTCCTTCATTTACGATTCTAATTTGTTCCAAGAGACGTGCGTACACAAAAAATCTTAAACCAAAACAAATTTTCCTATAAGAAATAATATAAATTTAATTAATCCGTTCCACACCCCCAAAAATATTAACTTAAAAATACATTTTAACAGAATACTACTTACATTTTTCATACACAAAACAATCAGGTATAAATATAAACCCATAAATAAAATAAGTGAACGTTTAACTGCAGTCTACCTTTACTGGGAACTCTTGTTGCCGGATATTAGACAGTGAGGAGGGTGGGAGAGGGTGGGGCAATGTTGGCATATGGGAGACGGTGAGGAAGGTGGGAGAGGGTGGGGCAGTTTTGGCGTATGGGAGACGGTGAGGAGGGTGGGGCATTGTTGCTGTATGGGAGACGGTGAGGAGGGTGGGAGAGGGTGGGACAGTGTTGCCATATGGGAGACAGTGAGGAGGGTGGAAGAGGGTGGGGCAGTGTTGTCTTATGGGAGACGTGAGGAGCGTGTGGAGCATTGTTGCCGTATCAGAGACGGTGAGGAGGGTGGGAGAGGGTGGGGCAGTGTTGGCGTATGGGAGATGGTGAGGAGGGCGGGAGAGGGTGAGGAGCATGGGGCAGTGTTGCTGTATGGGAAACGGTGAGGAGGGTGGGAGAGGGTGGGGCAGTGTTGGTGTATGGGAGAGGGTGAGGAGCGTGGGACAGTGTTGCCGTATGGGAGACGGTGAGGAGGGTGGGGCAGTGTTGCCATATGGGAGACGGTGAGGAGGGTGGGACAGGGTGGGGCAGTGTTGGCGTATGGGAGACGGTGAGGAGAGTGAGAGGAGGAGCAGTATTGGTGTATGGGAGACGGTGAGGAGAGTGGGAGGAGGAACAGTATTGGTATATGTGAGACGGTGAGGTGGTGGTGTTGGTGAGTGTTTAGAAGGACCGTCCCCTGCTTGCCTTAAATGCTTTCATATCTGCATCACTGTTTTCATATTTTCCTTTCAAACATTTCACTACTGGTTAGCATTGTAAATGTGTGACCACCTCTGTGGTAGAAAATAATAATAAAAAAAAACTACTTCTGTCATGTGGCAGCCAGTCAGAACCAGTCACTTACAAGTCAGTCAAGCATTCACAGTCAAGACCAGTCACATGCAGTCAGAACCAAAGGCAGTCAAGCATTCACAGTCAAGATCAGTCACACGCAGTCATAACCAAAGGCAGTCAAGCATTCACAGTTGTGGTAGCAACTGGTTAGGCATTTACAGTCAATCAGGCTTTCACAGCCACAAACAGTTAGTAAACAATAAGAGTTTAATGTTAGGCACTCAGGCAGTCTGCCTCCTGATCCACCAGTTGGTAGCAAGGAAGCCTTCTGAATTAATACTGTCCAGATGTAGCTGGGAGGGTACAGTTGGGGGGAGGGAGTCTGGTGTTGGGGATGAAGGTACACCCCACCATCCCCTTATCCATCCATCCAGTTCCCCCAACCATCTACCAGTCCCCTCACTCTCCATGCATAAAGTCCCCCTCACCCTCCATCCATCCAGTCCCCCTCACCCTCCATCCATCCAGTCCCCTCACCCTCCATCCATCCAGTCCCCCTCACTCTATCCGTCCAATCTCCCTCACCCTCCATCCATCCAGTCCCCCTCACCCTCCATCCATCCAGTCCCCCTCACCCTCCATCCATCCAGTCCCCCTCACCCTCCATCCATTCAGTCCCCTCACCCTCCATCCATCCAGTCCTCTAACCATCCATCCAGTCCCCTTCACTCTATCCGTCCAATCTCCCTCACCCTCCATCCATCCAGTCGCCCTCACTCTCTATCCGTCCAATCCTCCCTCACCCTCCATCCATCCAGTCTCCTCACCATCCATCCATCCATCCAGTCCCCCCACCATCCATCCATCCAGTCCCCATCCACCATCCATCCATCCAGTCCCCATCCACCATCCATCCATCCAGTCCCCATCCACCATCCATCCAACCGCCCCTTATCCGTCCATCCAGTCCCCTCCCCATCCATCCATCCAGTCCCCCCACAATCTATCCAGTCCACTACCCCCCCCCTATCCATCCATCCAGTTCCTCTCACCATCCATCCAATTCCCCCCCCCCATCTATCCATCCATCCATCCAGTTCCCCCACCATCCATCCATCCAGTTTCCCCCACCATTCATCCAGTTTTCCCCCACCATTCATCCAGTTTCCCCCCACCATCCATCCTTCCATCCAGTCCCCTCACCATCCATCTTGGGACCCATGGCATGATATATAATAAGAAATTTATTGTTCAAAAACCAAAAAAGCAGAAAAACAATGGAGTTATATACAAAGAGTTCAAGCGCGTCATCACTAGGTGGGATACACTGGTAAACAACTGAGCGTGCCTCGCCTTGCGCCCAGCACCACGCACTCGCTCGACCCAAACAAGTATCAACAGACGTCGTATTCCAAGGCAAATGTTGTACACCAATTCAAATTTTATGATGAATTTGACATCGTATACCAAAAAAACGTAATCTAGGGCAGTCATGAACCAAGGTACCACTGTACTGTATATACTATGCTGTATGTATGTATACATACAAATATATATACAGGTATATATAATGTCTGTGTGTAAATGTCTTATCTGTTTGAGGTTGGGGCCAGACAAGGAAGAAGGGAGGATTGGAAAATAGTGGAAGAGTGGTGGGGGGGGGGGGGGGAGATGAGAGGGAAGAAAATATAGGAGATGAGAGGGAAGAAGTGGAAGGGGTAGTGAAGATTGGGAAAGAAGAGGGATGTAATGAGGGGGGGGGCAGAAGAGATTATCTCAAACACTGCCAAGTATTCCTTCTAGTCTATATCTATAACAGAGAATGTCTGTCTGTCAGTCTTTCCGTCCATCTGTCTATGATTGGAGGCCAGATGCTTGGGACCAGCCTCACCCAACCTTGCAGGGGAAATGGTCTAGGATATGGGATGAACATAGACTGATCAGGGTTGGCAAAATTCTAAAGGGAACAGCATGCCAAGATCATATTCTGACCTGTACGATGAGTTTTAGTACTGCCCACATATTTTGAAAACAAAAATTTTAGAACAGATTTGTTTCTTGTAGTAATATATATACCATTATTCACTGATCTAATGAAAATTAAAATGATATCCTGCTGTCCATACTTTTGACCACAAAACATAAAACAGATGATCCTTCTACAGCTTCAATGACTTTCTCAACCTCTTGTTCAAATCAAATGGGTAACTTATTTTGCAATACTTTATTTCACACTGCAAAGTTCCTCCCACTGGCGGACCATCCACGCACTAATGGTACACTATTACTTCTATAAAAAAAAGACAGACAGAGAAATAGAGAAAAGAAATATGTGATAAAATCTCTCTTGAGACAAGTTCTCTTGGTAGTTGTCCATCATATTATCTATTGAAATCAAAATTTAACATGGTGAAATTCACTCATAGAATGTGGGACATATTAAGGGTATAAATGGTAACTCTCTTTAATATGTCTCGGTCACATTTTTAGCAACTTTTGCAGATGAATGAAACATTAAGAGAAATAGACATAGTGATGTATTTTTCTTGTATTTTATAACAAAAAATTCAAAATTATATCCTATGAATGCCTCTAGAATGCATCTCTGGTTTCAGTGAACTGGACCTGGTCCCCATGAAATTTGCCAAATCAAAGTTGCACTATATACTGTATAGCTAAATATAAGATGTGAGGTACTTAGTATTGTAGTCTGAAATTATTAATTTTTTCAAATACAGATGGGTGTCTTTTACATCTGACAGCAGTTGCATCATCAGCATTGTCAGTCCATCTCCGTTATTTGCTGTATCCAGGATATGAGGTAGTAAAAGTTAAGGAAGCTGCCACAGTAGTTTCTCCACTACCATTGATAATGCAGCCACCACTTGGGTCTTTCCAAGTGCATACTGGGTCTGGAGTATTGCTGAATCAACCACTCTTTAGGGAAGACATTCCTTCAGGATTAAGTAGGTAAGATGTTTGTCTTGTTCTGTTATCTTTTTTACTTATTAGGCATCAGGTAGGAATACTGTGTGTTTTTCCATATAACTTTTTAAAAAATGAGGTATGAACCAATTTTCAGTGGGGAGCCCCTACGGCTCCCTGGAGCTATCGGGCTAATGTATGTTATGTTAGACCGGGACATTAGCTAAGGAGTTCAGACCTACCAGGGACCAGCGCCAGAACCTGGCCCCTTCAGAGAGGTTTCAGGGAACAATGGTCCTGGAAAACCCCATTATGGTTGGGGGTTTTCCTTATCTGCCATCGACCGGGGTTAGGCACCCAGAAAGGTAGGCATAACAAAACAAACTCCCACATGGTAAGAAACTACAAAAAAAAAATGAACAGAGAGGTAGAAACTCCCTACAATCCCAAGGAAACAATCAAACAATCAATTTACTGCCGCGCTGGTCGTTCGCGCAGCCCTCCCCTCCTCTGGAGGGGGAGGGGGGCCCTGGACCTCACCGTGCCGGCTGCCTTCAGTTCGTAAGCTAGTGTCAACCAGGATAGATGCTTCTCTGGCCTCAAATTCCTGGGCGGTGTTTGCCTCGTGTGACGTTCTCTGCTGTCTTTGTATGGTGTGCGGTGGCCAGGAGTACCTCATCAGTGCCGGGGCTGCATGCGCTTAGGGGCTTCCTTTCCTAGGCGCCCTGTGAATACTGCCCCTGCGTGTCAGGGTTATCTTCCCTGGGACGATCAGGAACCGCTCCCGTAGGGGTTCTTGCTGCTCGGCATTTGCCTCGCCCTTGGGGCCAGCTGGGGCTTGGGGCCCTTGTTTGGCCCTGGATAGGGACTGGTATTTTGCTGGTTAGGGCATCAAGGTGTTGCGTGACCTGCCACCTAAGCAGCAACCAGTTCCTGTTGCCTCTGGAGACGGTGTACTTTTGCGGGGTTTTTCTTTTGTTTTTATTTTCATTTGCCTGGTGGGGGTCTGCCCAGTGTGGCTATAGTTCCACTGGTAGTGTTTGGTGGCCCTCTGCTAGGGCCCCATGATTGTACATGTCGCAGGGGTTTTCAGTGTTGTCCTCTACCCCTTGTTATTTTTGGGTTTCTTAACCAGTTAGCAACACCTTGCCCGGGCTTCCCATAGTTGTTACCCTACGGGCCCTAGAAACCCCTGTCGGGGCTCGGTGGACCATTGACTGTGTCTTCCGGGTTCCAACCCGTCTTGTATGAGATCGTTGGTTGCTGTGCCTTTGTCTCTGGGTGACAGTCTCCACTTTTACCTCCGTCATGCTGCCTGTTGGGTCACTGACACCTTCACCCGGAGTCTTGCGAGAGATATTCTCTGCTTGTTTTCCAGTACTCTCCTGATGTTATTACTGTTCAGAGTACAGGCGGCATCCATGTTGCAAGCTAGGTTAGGTTGCTGCAACACTCTAGGTTGGTTTCCCACTCAGATGCCCCAAGGCTGCCCCATTTTGGTTAGGTGCTGTTCGCCCCTTTCCCTCCCTGTTCCCGACTCCTGACCATCTGCGGGTTTCGGGGTTTAGTTGGGGCAGAGACTCGGGCGGTTTCGGGGGGGCTGCCCCGTTCGCGTTGGGAACGGAGGTTTTTGAGACTGTTCCTCCTGCCAAGGCTTCTAGGTCTTACCAGTGACCCTTTCTTGCTGCCTTTCCTATGGACTCTTCCTTTTCTTTAAGGGCAGAGGGCTTGGAGGACGGCTGTGCCCCGGGGCCTCTGTTGCAGGTTCCCGGGGCTGTGGGGGATGCCTGCTAGCAGTTCTGGGGCTGTTTGACCCTGCCTGGGTTTTCTGCTTCTGGGCGGAGTTTTCGCCCATCCAGTCTGCTTGCTTCCCACTTTTGCTGGCGTGTTTTCGTATCTTTTGTGTCAGTCACAGCCCTCTATTCTGGTGGCCATTTTCTTCTGCCGATTTTTTGGCGTGGTCACCAGGGGGCATTGTGGTTTGTTTACATACACCTGGGTGTGCGAGTGAGTGTCTTGGGTGAGTTTTTTCACCGTTTTCAGGGGTTTTATTCTCCTGTTGTCATTTCTTTGCTTTTCTGGTGTTTTCTGCCCATTTTCTGTTCCTCTGGGAACGTTTGAGTGTGGATTTTACACCGGGTTTTCCGTTTTGTCTATTTTGGGTCTGGGCTCTAGGGTTTGGGCTCAGTGTCCCTGTTTGTTATGCTTGCTCCCACACCTTGTCCCTCGGTTTTCAGTCTGTTTTGACCGTTTCCCTGGGGGTTCTGTCTGGGGTCTGTGCTGTGCCTTTCTGTGGTGTATCTCCGCCGGCAAATGTGGTGGTTTGGGCTCGCCCTGGTTCGATTCCGGGTTCCTTTGGGTTCTTTGGTTTCGTTCCGGAGGTTTCTTCCTCTTGGGCCCCCTTTGTAGGTTCAGGGGGCTTTGTTTCCTTGTGTGTGACCCAGCTCTGCCTTCTGGGGTTCCAGGGTCTTCCTGGCTTGCAGACTGATCTTTTTGGGTCTTGGCACATGTTATAGTCGTGCTGGGACTTTGGAGTTTTGTTGTCAAGGTGGGCCTTTGATGCAGTTTTGTGCCTTCTTCGCCTGGCCGGCGTGGTGCTCTCTGCCCACTGGTCGGCGGCTTGTAATTTTCTTTTCACGTGTATGTGTGTGTAATTACCTAAGTGTAATTACCTAAGTGAAGTTACAGGATGAGAGCTACGCTCGTGGTGTCCCGTCTCCCCAGCATTCTTTGTCATACAGTATAATGCTTTGAAATTACTGACGGTTTTGGCCTCCACCACCTTCTCACTTAACTTGTTCCAACCGTCTACCACTCTATTTACAAAAGTGAATTTTTGTATATTTCTCCGGCAGCTTTGTTTCGTTAGTTTAAACCTATGACCTCTTGTTCTTGAAGTTCCGGGTATCAGGAATTCTTCCCTATCAATTTTTATCGATTCCTGTTACTATTTTGAACGTAGTGATCATATCGCCTCTTTTTCTTCTATCATCTAGTTTTTGCATATTTAATGCCTCTAACCTCTCCTCGTAGCTCTTGTCCTTCAGTTCTGGGAGCCACTTAGTGGCATGTCTTTGCACCTTTTCCAGTTTGTTGATGTGCTTCTTAAGATATGGGCACCACACAACCGCTGCATATTCCAGCTTTGGCCTAACAAAAGTCGTGAACAATTTCTTTAGTATTTCTCCATCCATGTATTTAAAAGCAATTCTGAGGTTAGAAAGTGTAGCATAGGCTCCTCGCACAATGTTCTTAATGTGGTCCTCAGGTGACAGTTTTCTATCTAGAACCACCCCTAGATCCCTTTCTTTGTCAAAATTCTTTAAAGATTTCTCACATAATTTATAGGTTGTGTGGGGTCTGTGTTCTCCAATTCCACATTCCATAACATGGCATTTCTGGGGGAAGCCCTGTCGGCTCCCTGGAGCTATCCCAGGCTGATATGCTAATGTCAGACTTTGGCATCAGTCATGTGTATGGAGTTCTTAGGCCTACCGGGGACCACGGCCAGAACCGGGCCCCCTCAGAGAGGCAAGGGGAGCAATGGCCTATAGAAGCCCCCGTGTGGTTGGAAGCATTCTATGTCTGCCATCGACCGGAACAGGCACCCAGAAAGGTAAGCGCCTCAAAACTAACCCCTATTCTGGTTAAAATTGCTACCAAAAACCGAACTAGTGGATAGAACTCCCCAACTGAAAACAAGCAAACTAGTGTGACTTCACACACCGCCGCGCCGCTGTCTGCGCAGCTCCCCCCTCCCCGGGAGGGGGAAGGGGGAGCCCCAGACCCCCCGCGCCAGCTACCCACACCTCAGTTCTTGAGGCTGATGCTATAGGCGATGGTCGTGTGCTCTGGCTCCGGTGTCGCTACTGCACTGTGCTTTGCGTGTGGTGTTGGTTTTGTGGGCGCGAGAGCCAGGAGTTATCTTCAGTACTCGGGCTGCATGCGCCTAGGGCTGCCTTCCCTAGGTGCCCTGTAAGTACTGCCCTTGGGGCTTGGGGCCACCTTCCACAGGCTCCTCATGGTCTGCTTCTGCTGGTCCGTTTTACCTTTCGGTTTTTCGGCCGCCTGTTGGGCTCTTGGGTGTTCTGTTCTCCCTTGTTACCGGCAGGTAAGAGGCAGTTTGCACTGGTAGGGGCGCAGGGTGCTGCTCAGCTTGTATTTCCCGACATCGCGGCCAGCTCTGTTCCTTGGGGTTCGCTGTCCTCTTGCGGGGTTTTGTTTTTCTTTTTGTTTTTGCCTGGCGGGGGGTTCTGTCATTTTACTCAGTTTGTTTTTGCCCTTCCACTGTTCTCCTAGGTGGCGCCCCCTGCTAGGTCCCCGTGAGTGTACACGTCCCTGGGGTTCAGCTTTAGAAGATTGCTTGGTAGTTTTGGGTGCCGGTTTGCAACACCCTGCCTGGGACTACCTGAGCGCGAGTCCTCTTAAAGTAAACGCTCAGGACTCTGGGAATCCCCTAGGGGGCGCGTGGTTCCGATGGATGTGACCCCGGAGTCCCCACTCGCTGTGTGCGAGTTTGAGGGTTGCTCGGTCCCCTTGTCTCAGGGTGACCCTCATTGTTTTTGCCTCTGCCACGCTGCCTGTTGGGTCGGTGATACTTTCGACCCTGAGTCCTGTGAGTGTTGCTGCTTGCTTGTGACTCAATTTACCCAATCCTCTGATGATTCTATTCGGGTACAGGCGGCGCGTGCGTTGCAGTCTAGGTTTCGTCTGTTGCAACGCGCTCGGTTGGTTGCTTCCCCGGATGCCCCGGGGCTGCCCCGCTTTGCTTTTCGAGACCCGGACTTGGGAGTGGGGGTTGCTTCGATCCTGGTTCAGTCCGCACCTCCTCGTCCTTCCCCTTCTGTTCGTTCTGGTCCCCCGCCCCTGCTTCCGGCCCCGAAGCGTCTGAGGGTTTTGGGATCGGAGCAGGGGTTACTTGATCTCGAGACTCGGGCAGCTTCGGGGGGTGCCCCTTCCGGAGGGGCGGCAGAGGCATTCAAGTCTTGTCTCCCGGCCGAAGCTTCAGGGTCTGACCAGTGGGCCCCCCTTCCTCCAGCTTTTCC